AGTGATGTCTTTAGGGTGGGCCTTAATCCATTCTGACCGGCATCCTTAGGAGGAAATCTGGATACACAAGGAGGCACCAAAGATGCACGGAGAGGAAAGGCCACGTGAGGACACAGCGAGAAGGTGGCCGGCAAGGCAAGGAAAGAAGCCGCAGGAGAAAGCAGCCTGCCGGCACCTTGCTTGGATTCCAGCCTCCAGAAGTGTGAGAAAATAAATTTCTGTGGTCTAAGCCCCCGGCCTGTGGTCCTTTGTTCCAGCAGCCCTAGCAAACGAACATGGTAGCATATCAACGTTAAAGTTTCTGAAGATGAAGACCATTTTCTGGTCATTATAATGCCCTTGTTCTTAGATGATTCCCCCTGAAATATTTAGGGGTAAAGGGTCATGATATCTGCAACTCAGTCTCAAATGGATAAGCGATGATAATGAGTATATAAATACATAGAGAGTAAACAGGCCAAAAATGTTAATAATTGGTGAATCTAGGTGAAGGGTATAAATGGGATTTAGTTTTATTATTCCTGTAACTTTTCTATTAAGTTTGATTTTTTTTTTGACATAGAAACTTTTTATTGATTCCCTTTCTCTCATCTAAGGTGGGAGCAGGGAGGGGTTCTTTTGGAAAAGGTAACCTAACTCGGCAAAAGGAGCTCCAGGATCCAGCACCTACCCCGATCCAGGCACGAGGCCCAGCGCCGCACACTCTCTCAGTAAGGCCCGCAGCTCCTCATCCTACAGAGGAAGGATGGAAGCTCCGGGATGGGAAGTGCTCACCGAGGACCACACAGCAAGGAAGTGACACAGCTGGACGTGAGCCAGGTTGTGTCTGCCTTCACAGCCCTTTCCACGCTTCCCTCTGGGCAAATAAATGGAGGGCACACAGTAGGCATCTAGTAAAGACTGGAAGGGAAGGAAACCTGTGCTGCTGGGAGAACTGGATCCCGGGAACAGGCCCTCTTGAGGGCAGCTGGTTGACCGTGCTGTTGGGGGTCAGCAAGGTGCCCGCCCCGTAGCCAGTGCCCGAAATGTCAGCCAGAGGGCTGTGCCTCCACTACAGCAACCCCAGAGCACCTCCCTTTCCTGACCCACCAGACCCACCTCCTCTCTTGGGGACGACAAAGCAGAGGAAAGGAGGCAGGCTGGTAGGTCTGGCAAAGAGCCCACCCATTCCAGGCCCTGGGTGGGACTCCTGAGATGCTTCATCCGGAGTGAGGGCAGGCTCTTTTCCCTCCCTGGGCCTGCACCGCGTGAGGGGGAGAATGCTCCCCCCCGAGGGGCAGGCAGGCAGCGCATCCGGGGCTGGCGCCAGCTGCTGAGACCAGGCCTCGGTGCCCATTACTCATCATCTTCCTGGAGCTTCTGGCTACATCCTGCTCCCAGCTAGAAGCCCAGTCCCCTGGAACAGAAAAGGTGATGCTGCCAAGCTCCCCATCTACACAAGGTCACCCACCTGCCCTGCCTGCCCTGCTCCTCATCATATTAGCCATCCTACACCCCACACACCTGCACCCCTCCCAACATGTACCCTTTCCCTCCGTCCTGCGCTCTTCTTTCCATTCCGCTTCCAAGCAACCCCATTTTCCCTAAAGCCCAAATACATCCTTTCCTTAACCCAGGCTCAACTCACTGAGTCCACCATTCTTCTGACTCAAAGCAGAACCCTCAGCCGCCCCGTGCCTTGACTAGTCCACTTCCCGCACACTTCCAGTGCTCCTCTTTCACCCTACCCACCTTGCCCCCACCCTGAATGGCCTCTCGTACCAGAACTGATACTAAAAGACCTCACTGAATCCTTATAACCACCCTTGAGGTCAGGCAACTTTGGGAGCTAAATCCATCTCCACCTCTGTCACTAAAGAAGGAGAGACTAAGGCTCAGAGAGGTGGAGTAACTGACTGGAAGTCACACAGCTACTGAGCCGCTGAGCCAGCATTCACACCAGGACTGCCTGCCTCGATATCAGTGCTCTGAACTGTCGGCTCTTCAACTTCCTAAACAGCCCTGGCCGGCCTGGAGTGGGCTCAGAGCAAACACCCACGCTCCACGGGCAGCTTCCCCGGCCTCCCTCATGAGAGCCTCTTCTGAGTCATTCCTCACAGAGCATTCTTCTGCTCAACTTAAATTCCTTACGTCTAAGATGACGTCTCTGCACAGTCTGAGCCTGGCACTGCACTTGGTTCTGGGCTCCATAAGAGTCAATTAACTGGAGAGAGCATGGGTTTGGGGCTACCCCAAGCCGGCAGGCTTAGCGGCTGGCAGGCTGGAGGCAGTGGCTGGCCCTGGTCACTGAGAGGCTACAAACCCTGGAGTGAGTGTGAAAGTATAAGCAGAAACTCAGACTTATAAGACCCCTAAAACCATAAAGCAGGAGAGGACCAGAGAGGTTCATGCTAAAGGTCACACAGCCTATAAATGGCAGAGCAGGCACTCTGGTGGGGAAAGAGGCTCAGAAAAGGGACGGCTCCTCCCCAGAGTCAAGCTGGCAGAACTGGCACTTGAACCCAGGGCCTATAATCCAGTCCACTGCTTTGTCATGTTACCGACCAAACACAAACCATAACACACCAATTTAAATTGGCAGCTCAGTCCTCTTCCCACTCTTGATTCCCTTGCCTTGTTCTGTTTTTCCTATTTCCAGAGCACTCATCACCTTCCAACAGACTTTACATAATATCATGTTCTTAGAACATCAAGTCCACTAGATCAGGGGTCTTTCGTCTCTTTTGCTCCCTGACATATTTCGAGCACCTAGAACAGTACCTGCTCCATATAGTAAAAGCTCAGTAAATATTGGTCGAATAAGTAAATTAGTCCAACAAGCATTTACTGAATATTTCCAAGGGCCAGGCTGTGAACTGTAGCCACTTTGCTGGATCCCAAATCTATCCGGACATCAGTGCTCACTGAACCCTGAAACAAGCCAACATCTCCTCTGACCCCAGAAGGGAGCTAGCAAACCAACCCCAACTCAAGCCAACCCCGCACATTTCTCTAAACCAATAAACTCTCAAACCAAACTAAAACGTGACGCACATCTGAAGCGAAGAGGACTCAAACGTCCCGGAGGCTCCCTCCCCTGCTCAAAAAGGCCCAGCAAGACTTCGAGGGTCTGCAGCCCCTCAGCCCACCAGCCACTGCCAGATTCACAGCTGCCCCTGTTTCAGCATTGCTTTTGCTAAACAAGTCTCAGATTTGCTGCATCCTAGTGGTTTCGCTGGGTGTTCCGGCCTTGCCCAGCAGAGACAGCTCATCGGTACCAGATGCTCCTCCCTGGGACGTCAGATGAGGCGAAGGAGGACCCAGAGACATCCCTGGCCTTCTGGCCCTCTCCCTGGGGCTGTCCAGTACCCTCTGGCGGGAGGGCAGCTGGGTGGGCAAAATTGGAGCCATTTCTGGGAGTGTGAGAGCTGCCGACGTCGACTCCCTGGGTTCCTGCAGCAATTCCCAAGGAGCCTCTCCTTCAGCCAGCAGGAACACAATGTCCAGTGATTCCCACGTGCATCTGGGTTTGGCTGAACCAGACTGCAGAGGGCAAGACTTTGAGACGTTTAATATACGGCTTTTGATCAAAGAAAGGCAGAGGCTGTTTCAAGAAGTCCTGAGTCTACTATTATCTCAGCCCAAGGAACAACAATCTCAGAGGAGATCGGTCCGGAGAAAAAAAGACATTCCAGAAATGCTGCTCTGCTTCAGAATGGTCTTCCGAAAGAGGGAAGCAAAAACAGGCTGCACCAGCCCCTCCCCCAGCCAATGAGCTGTAAACAGCACCTGAGGCAAACATTTACTGAACTCTCACCGTGCCAGGTACTGTGCAAAATGTGTGGCAGAGGCAGGCCTGCCCCTGAGCCCTGCTCCACCTTCCATCTGTGCAGCAGGAGGCACACAGCCCTCTCAGGGCCTCTGTATGCTCATTTGCAAAACGCAAAAGAATAACTGAATCTACTTCATAGGATTGTGGTGAGAGTCAGTGAGAGAATGCTTAGTCCAGTGCCTGCCACACAGTAAGCGCCTAAGGTAGTTTTTTCAAAGGAAAGGAGCAGCCTGTATTGAGAGAAGGAAAACTACTATTTAAGGAGTTTCTAAAAGTCCCCTAAGCCATTATTTATGTATTTCGTGATTTCCTAAGTGTTTGTTGTTGCCTGTTTTTCAAATAAACAATCTTCACTGCCTCCTTGGGGTGGAAGGGGCAAAAGGCAGAGCGACAATCCTTGTGACAAAGGATGAAAACAAGGCCTAGAAGGTCCAGGGAGGCGGCAGCCAAGCACCGGAGGAGCGGCCCTTTGCCCTCAAACCCTCAAAACATCAGACAAGCCTCTCCCAGGGGAGAGTGGCCGGAGGCCATGACTAGCAGGGCAGTGGGCGCTGGGACTTTAATCCCCCACCGCTAAGAAGTGGTCATCTTTTGGCCCTAAAGAAAAAATGCATGTCAGGGCCAGACCCCGGGGAAATAGAAGTCAGCGCCCTGAGACGCCACATGCGTGCTTTCAACGCTGGGTCAGGCCCCGGTACAATAAAAGAGAGGGCAGCCCCCGTTCCGGAGAAGGAGGAGCTCTCGGGGTCTCCAAGTGGGGCGCCGGGGCCCCCAAGAACCCCCTGGGCGCCGGCAGGAGATGGGAGGGGGCGGCGGCAGCCTGGGGGTCCCGGGCTCCGCTCACCTGGCCGCGGCGTTCGGCGCACGGGGCAAAGCCAGGCCCCCGGCGGCCTGGAGCGGAGGTGGGGTCACTCCGGCTCGCAGAGGCCCAGCCCCCAGAAGCAGCCGGCGGGGCCGGGAACTCACCTGCCGTCGCAACCGCGCCACTGCCGCCTGTCAGTCAAGCGCGCCCCCCGCTGCGCCGCCCAGGGTCGAGGGGCCCGGCCGGCCGCGCCCCGCCTCCTCCCCCTCGGCCGCCCAATCCGGAGAGGACGACGCCACGGATGGGGGCGTGGCCAGGCGGGAGGTGCGGGCCGGGGGCGGGACCAGGCGGGGTTGGGGCGGGGCCAGGCGAGGCTGGCGCTCTGACCTCACTGCTGCGCGCCGGAAGCAGTCCCGGCCACGGCGCGACGGCTCGGCGGCTGGACCGAGGGGCCGGGTCAGTCATGCCGGTCACCGGGAAGACTTTCCGCCGGCGCCGCGCCGACTCGGAGTCGGAGGAAGATGAGCAGGACTCAGAGGAGGTTCGGTGCGTTTGGGATGGGGCTTCCACGGGGCAGAGAGAGGCCGGCTTGGGGGACTCACCACCGGCCAGGCGCCTTGTTGACACCATTGCTAACTGTGAGCCAGGGTTGTTTGTCCCTTTCTGCGGAGGAAGAAATTGAGGCTCCTAGGGGTGAGGCCGCCTCCCCAAGGCGCAGCTGGGACAAGTGTCTTCACGATGCGCAGTGGATCTGAGTCCCGGTGGGTCTAGGCGCAGGTTCGCCTTCTGGACCACTGTGCCGGCGGCTCAGCAGCGGGAACAGGGAGCCAGTGGAAGCTGCTTTTTGACTCTGAGTTCCGCGGAGAGTCTCTCAGCCTGTGCTTTGAATTTTTTCAGATTAAAACTGGAAGAGACCCGAGAGGTACAGAACTTGAGGAAGAGGCCCAATGGGGTGAGGTGGGTACCGCTGGGGGACCCGGAGGAGGTGGGGATGATAGACACGCCCCCGCCCTGGTCGCTGTCACAAATATCTCCTCAGACATAGCCCCTTCTTTTAACACATGTGCACGCTCTACTGCCCTGAAGTGGGTCCAGCATTCTTTGCACACGTTTAACCAGGAGATGCCTTGAGTTGTGTGGTCTTTAGGTTTGGTCTAGAGGTGCAGAAACAGGTCACTAACTCGTGTTTTTATTGCACCTGATTAATTGTGAAATGCACACTGATTGTTAAGAGTTTGGAAAATTTAGAGAAGCATAATCAAGAAAATTAAAAGTACCCATAGTTCTCCCATCCAGAGGTAACCAGTGTTAACATTTAATGTTCTTTCCGATCTGTTTTCTCTCTCTCTTTTGTAAAGATTGTGAGTACTTTTATTCTATGCTATTTTCAATTCATTGTGACATTGTGGGTATTCACTCACATTGTAGATTATTTTTCCAAAAGCCTTTTTAATGGCTGCATAATATACCACCACCTGTATGTACCATCATTTGTTAACTAATCCGCTATTTGGGGACTGTAGGGCATTTTGTAAATTTTCACCATCAAGTAAGGCTGCAGTAAGTATTTTCCCACGTTTGTCTTTAACTTCGTTTTCCCTGAAGACAAAATCTTAGAAATGAGATTTCCAAACCAACATAATGCCAAATGGCTTTATAGAAAAGCGTACCACATCACTCACCATCACCACCACCCCATCCCCTGCCCCCAACACCTAGAGAGCTTGTTGAGCCCTGTTTTATTTTCGTGGGCTTTTCCAGCTGGCTCTGGTGCCCACCCCTCAAATCTCACTCTTGCACTACTGTTGGAACCTATAACTTCCTAAGTGTTCTTCCTCATCTCTGAATTGTGCCGTTTCTCTCTCTCTCTTTGGTTTTGCTCAGTGCTGTGGCCCTGCTGGTGGGAGAGAAGGTACAAGAAGAGACTACTCTAGTGGTAAGTTGCGGGGTCCTCCCTGGGCAGTAGGAAGATGTGGCTGCTCTTCAGTGGGTAATTGTGTTTTCTTAAAAAAAAAAAATCCCACTGCCAGTTATATAGATGCTTCTTCTGAGCTGGTTTGCTTTCTGCAGGATGATCCCTTTCAGATGAAGACAGGCGGTATGGTGGACATGAAGAAACTGAAGGAAAGGGGCAAAGATAAGTAAGTGCAGGCCATGCTGAGATGCACATTCACCTGTAGTCCCCGCCTGGTCTGCGTGCGCCGGGGAGCTGGGGCCTGCAGCAGCAGCGTTAGTGGGGCATCCTGAAGTAGCCTTTGTGCCTTGTAAAGGGTATGTAGTTTAAACACAAAGAAAGCTTAAAAGAAACCAAAAGAAATTCTTTAAAAATTAGCTTAGAGGGGTTGGCCTGGTGGCATAGTGGTTAAGTTTGCACACTCAGCTTCAGTGACCCAGGGTTTGTGGGTTCAGATCCCAGGCTTGGACCTACACACCACTCATCAAGCCACGCTGTGCAGCATCCCACGTACAAAGTAGAGGAAGACTGGCAATGGATGTTAGTTCAGGGCCAATCTTCCTCACCAAAAATAAATAAATAAATAAATAAAAATTAGCTTAGAACAATATGGGTAAAAATCCTTTTATAAAGGTGCATTTTTTTATTATCTTTCAAACGCATGTGGAAATTTTGTTTTTCTTTTTAAAGAAAAACATAAAAACACAATTACAAAAATGATACATTGGAACAATACAAAAATGAAAAATAAAAGTATCTACTCATTCCCCAGAGGCATCTCCAGAGGCCAGCAGTTTGCTTGCGTCTATTTCTTCTGTTTACGTATCATATGTATTTTCTTCCCAAGCATAAACAGGATATTATACTGTTTGCGTGTGTACTTGTTTTATGCGTATAACATAAAACTCAGCCTCAGTGAGTTGTGACTTTAAGGCTCGCTTCATTGTTCTGTCCTTTTAGGATCAGCGAAGAGGAAGATCTCCACCTGGGGACGTCGTTTTCTGCAGAAACCAACCGAAGGGACGAAGATGCTGACATGTAGGTGTCAGTCTGTCTGGTTGTGAGCGATGGGGGTGGGCTCCAGCCAGATGGAGTCCGAGATATTTAGTTACAGAAGACACTTCTGGAATTATTCAAAGACCGCAAAGTTGGCCCCTTTCACCCTACTTCCCGGGCTTGAGAACTTTGAGAAATTCTTAAACGTTCTTTAAAAGGGTGGTTCTTGGAATTTTAGATTTCCAGAGTAGTAATATTTCCCCCAAACATTGTAGGGATAAACATTGGACTTGCCCACTTTTTATTTCACCCACAAGATTGTTAAATTAACAACCATCTACCATTATCTTTCTGTCTTCAAAGAACCTTACATATGATGACACCAAAAGATTGATAGGACATAATCTCATAATAGAGGTTGGTGCTTTAAGTTGAAAAATTTTAGCTTATTGAAAAAACTCAAGTTATTTTTATTTTTCTCATTTCTCCATGGACCCATGAAAACTTCATCATGGACCATCACTGCTCTGTGGGCCGGTGCCGGGGACCACTGATTTTTAAATGACACCAGTTGTGAGCTTCCTGCTCCTGCCTGAGGCCTGTGGGTTTCTTGTTTCAGGATGAAGTACATTGAGACAGAGCTGAAGAAGAGGAAAGGGATCGTGGAACATGAGGAACAGAAAGTCAAGCCGAAGAATGCAGAGGACTGTCTTTACGAACTTCCAGAAAACATCCGCGTTTCCTCAGCAAAGAAGACTGAGGAGATGCTTTCCAACCAGATGCTGAGCGGCATCCCCGAGGTGGACCTAGGCATCGAGTACGTTTCACCCCCATGCTCTCGCCTCTCTGGCCCAGGGGCCAAAGGAAGAGTTCCGTGCTCCCCAGTTAAAGGGACTGTTTCTTAGCTGTCTCCTTGGAAACCCACGAATAGAAACTGTCTTCCCTCTGGCGGGCTGAGGTGTCTGTCTCTGGGAGTTTCCCTGAAGAATTGGTCAGAGTAGTTAGAGACATAAGGGACCCTGACTGCTGAAAGCAAAAGTATTTTTTTGTTTTCTCTTGAGATATAATTAACATATAATGTTATAATAGTTTCAGGTGTACAACATAATGGTTCGATATTTGTATACAAAAGTGTTTATTTTTATTTACCCTTTGTTCACAGCTCTTCCGCTGTTCTTATCAGGCCCTTGTATTCTTCTGTTTTATTTTAGCAGAAGCAATGTTAAAGGCTTACCCCCACCCCACGATCCTCCTTTCATTTTTAGTCCAAAGCATCTGCCCTGAAAAGGGGTCATCATGGAGGAAGTGCAATGGTCAGGAGCATCTTTGGGGGCGCTGGGAAGGTGGGAGCCTTCTGGGTGCTCGCCTCTTTTCTGGCCTTCCTGGCTTTGAGCCTCAGACAGTTCAGTTTACTTCTCTGAGGCCCAGTTTCCTCCTGATCGGAGGAGAGTGACTCCTGCCCCTCCAGTAGTTATGAGAGCTCTGTAAGGGAGTTGGGAAACTGTAGAGAGCTGTGCCCCAAGAAAGGTGCTTTCCTTAGGCAGTGGTGGGCTGCCAGCCTCACCAGTTAGTTCTGTCCAAAAGGGTAACCGTCTAATCCGTGGCGTGGCTCCTTTCCCCTCATAGTGCCAAAATAAAAAACATCATCTCCACGGAGGATGCCAAGGCCCGGCTGCTGGCGGAGCAGCAGAACAAGAAGAAAGACAGTGAGACGTCTTTCGTGCCCACCAACATGGCCGTCAATTACGTGCAGCACAACCGGTGTAAGCTTCCCCGGGGAAGCAGCCCCGCCCCCACCCCCTTGGTTTGAGGTCCCTGGGTTCCCAGGTTTTGCCTGACGTGTCCCCTGGTCTCTTTTGGTCCAGTTTATCATGAGGAGCTCAATGCCCCCATTCGGAGAAACAAAGAGGAGCCCAAAGCCCGACCCTTGAGAGTGGGTGACACAGAGAAGCCGGAGCCTGAGCGTGAGTACGGCAGAGGCCTGGAGCAGTCCTCGCTCGGCCTGTGCAGGCAGGGTGGGACTGAGCAGGGGTGGCACTTGGGCTTTGGGGCCAGGGCATCTGGGTTCCAGTCCACACTCTGGACCATGGCCATGAGGCTTCCTCTTTCCAAGCCTCAGTTTCCTCATCTATAAAATGGGGATAGTAATAAAACCTACATTTGGGCTTGCTCTGAGGATTCACTGGGCTATCAAATATAACAGAGACTTAGAAAATTTCAAAACGGAAAAATAAATTAAAAGTTACTCATAATTTCACCACCCAAAGATGACCACTGTTAACATTTTTACGTATAACCTTCCCGACTTTTTCTAACATTCATATATATGAGACATATATTGTATACATACTTAATAGGATCTCATAGCTTTTTACTCAGTAGTGCACCCTGTGTGTCTCTCCATGACCATAAATACATATTTTCCTTTTCAATGGCCATATTATGTGCCATTGTCCAGTCATACGTCACTTAACAACGGGGATACGTTCTGAGAAATGCATTGTTATATTCTGTCCTTGTGCAAACATCATAGAGTGTACTTACACAAACCTAGAAAGTACAGCCTACTACACACCCAGGCTATATGGCATTAATTTTATGAGGCCACGGTTGTATATGTGGTCGTCGTTGACCGAAACGTCATTATGTGGCACGTGACCATATAGATACCTGTGCTGTAGTCTAACCGTTTCTCTCTGGTTGGACACTTTGGTGGTTTCCCATTTTTCCCTATTTAAACAGTGTTTTGATCATTCTTGGCTATATCACGTGCTTAGGCTACGTTCTGAGAAGTCACCAAATGATGCTGTGGGAGTGTGGCGCTAACATGTTTTCCTGCCAGCAGCACCCAACAGTGCCCCTTGCCCGCGTGCTCACCAGCACCAGGCAGTGTCTTCCTTGTCAGCAACAATGGGATGATTCTAAGGAAATGCCCAATTTGCTGAGGCTTCTGAAAGTCCAGCCTGGTGCTCTGTTTCCTCCTTCCTACTTGGGAACCTGTTTTCTGTAACATCTCGGTTGCAGAGTCTTTGATGCCCGAAGGGTTTTGTGTTATTAACACTAGTGAACGAGGACTTTGGAGTCACCAGGCTTGGGTTCGACTCACAGCCCACCTTCACTTTGAGTGACCTTGAGCGAGTCACCTACCCTCTCTGAGCAGAGACGGTAATGCCCCTGTTAGGATTGCCGTGAGGGTTAGAGGAAGTCATGTCTGAAAGGATTTGGCGCCGTGCCTGGTACGTAGTCAGACTCTCAGTGAAGCGCAGCTGCTGCTGTTCCCCTAGTCTAATGCTGATGCCAGCATGTTTTGGCTGGTCCTGGACTCTACCATGTTTGTTGTCATTCACTCAATAACACGGAGTTACGGAGGCCCTGCTTCTACTCAGCAGAACAGGCACTGGGGCTCCTGTGGGGAATGACGCAGCCGTGGTCCTTGCCTGTGTGGAGCTAAAGCCTGTCGGTGGCTTCCCGCGTGGCAAACAGCTTTTCTTCTTTTCCTTGTCAGGGTCCCCTCCTAACCGCAAGCGTCCTGCTAATGAGAAGGCCACCGATGATTATCACTATGAGAAGTTCAAGAAGATGAACAGACGGTACTGAGGGCCGCTCAAGGGGAGAGTGCCGAATGGGATGTAAGCAGCTCCACCCCCCCCACCCCCGATAAAAGGCTTCCTGGACAGAGGCCTGCTCATTTGCTAGCAGACAGTTCCAAAAACAGACTGTTAGTCCTGCTGCTTACCCGCTGGATTTTTTAGGCACTGAGTTTGTAACTTTTTGAAACAAAACAATGTGTGGCTTTCCTATTTGGGGGCACACTCTGTTCTTGTGAGCATTATTAAATCTTGTTTGTAAATATGTTGACTTTCTCTTAACATTTGCCCTGGGTCAGGAGGAAACAGCTGTGTGTGCAGGTGAGACAGTGCCCTTTAGACTGTGCTTTATTATGTATCCAGTCATGTCTTCTACTTTCGCATATCTGGACCGGGGTGCAGAAGTGCATCCTTCGCTCTTTCCAGTGGATCCAGCTGAAAAACCCAGGACGGGATTAGAGAGACACTGGTATTTTCTGACTTTTACCAAGTTGCTTGTTTCTTTTCATTTAGAAAGAAAAAACCAATTTCTATCACTTTCAGCACTTAACTATTAAATATGAAATGAATCCGGCCTTATTGTTTGTATCGTGTCTCCTTACACCAACATTAGGTAGTGTGTTCACAGCTGGGGGTTGGGCAGCTCAAATGCAAAACTCAGTCACTGAGGGAGATTTTCTCATTTAGTTGAGATGTAGACAGGCTCCGCCCTGCTAGCTGTCAGGTATGGTGCCGCTTGTGCTGGCATTTTCCCCGAGGCACTTCCGTAGGTCGGGAGGAGGAAGGAGCAGCTCGGTTGCCTTCTGGGCTGATTGCGAGTGAGCATTGTGGTCAAAGACCTTTGGCCTTGGAGTCAGATCTGAGCCCTGCTCACAGCGTACTCATTATATCCTTGGGCAAATCTCTCCTTCGAGCCTCAGTTTTCTCATCTGTAAAATGGAGGTAGGTTTTTTTTTCCCCCTTTCACTAGAATGCAAGGTCAGTGAAGGCAGGAATGGTGTGCTTCCTTTTCTTCTTGAATCCCCAGGGTCTAGTCCAGTCCATGACCTGATATATGGGCAGACCTGGAAACTATGAGGGACTAAGTAGAAGTAAGTTTACGGTGGAGAAACTGGACAGACGCTGCCTCACCCAGGTGAGGAAGGTCAGCGTCACTGGTCATAAATCATGTTGATGTGTACCCTTGATGTGACGTTATAGCAATAGCACTTTACCTCTGTAGAGTATATTCCTCCCTGTAACCTATAGCCTCAGTCTAATCATGAGGAAAACATCAGACAAATTCCAATAATGGGGCATCCTGCAAAGATTTGACCAGTACGCCCCGCCCCAAAACTGTCAAAGTCCTCAAAACTGAGGAAAGTTTGAGAAACAGTCATAGCCAAGTGGAGCCTAAGGAGACGTGACAACTAAATATAATGTGGTATCTTGGATGGGATCCTGGATCAGAACTAGGACATTAGGTAAAAGCTAAGGAAATCTGAATAAACTATAAAGTTAAATGGATATAGTTTCATTCATTTTAACAAATGTACTAATGCAAGATGTTAATAGAGGAAACTGTGTGGGGCAGTATACGGGGCCGTTCAATACCGTCCCCTCAATTTTCCTGTAAATCTAACATTTGAAAAGTCTTTTATTAAAAAAAAGTGGCCCCCAGCGGCTTCCGGCCCCCACCTCCCGGAAGCAGGGGAGGGCTCTGCCCCTCACAAAGATGGCGGCCGCCGGCCTCGCGGGAAGGTCCGCCCGGTACAAAGATGGCGGCCGCGGCGGGGCGGAAGCGGAAGCAGAGCGGGCGCTCGAGCTGGCGCGGGAGGCGCGGGAGCGCGGCTGGGACGCGGGTTCGGGCATGAAGCTGTGCCGGGCCGCGCTGGGCGTGCTGCTGCTGGCGCCGCTCGGGGTGCGGGCGGTGGAGCCCATCAGCCTGGGCCTGGCCCTGGCCGGCGTGCTCACCGGCTACATCTCCTACCCGCGCCTCTACTGCCTCTTCGCCGAGTGCTGCGTCCAGAAGCCGAACCTCAGCCGGAAGGGTAGGACGGCGGGCTGCGGGCCGGGCCGGGGGCGGGGCGGCGGTCGGGGCCGGGAGGGACGGGGCCTGGCTCCTGGGCCGCGGCCGCAGACGGACCGGACTTTGGCCGCAGCCGGAGGAGGCGCGGCGCAGGTGGGCCGCTCCGCGCAGAACTGGGCCTGGACGGCTGAAACTTGTGCGGGATTTTTCTCCTCGGCAGCCGATCCGGGAAGGCGGGCGGGGACTTTTCCGGCGCCGACAGTGGTGGCCACAGCGCAGCCCTCTCCCTGCCCGGCCGCGGCCGGAAGGAGCAGAGCTGGGGCTGGGGGCGCACCCCGGGGGCGGGGCGGTGGAGCCGGGGACATTTCCGGGAAGGAGCCTGGCTCCAGGCTTCAAAAGGCGCAGGACAGCAGAGGGCGGGCCTCCCTGACCCGCCGGACGCCTCTCACCGGGTGCTGGCAGCTGGCTTTGCCGGCCGTCATGTGAGCCCATAAACTGGGCTCAGTTTTGCTAGCGGGGCCCCCCAACTGCCGCCCTGACTGGCTTTGTTTTTCCCAGAGTTGCAGAAGGATCTGAACAGCAAGCTGTTTGGGCAGCATCTTGCAAAGAAGGTCATCTTAAATGCTGTGTCTGGCTTCATGAGCAACGCGAAGCCCAAGAAACCGCTCACCCTCTCCCTGCACGGCTGGACGGGCACCGGCAAAAATTTCGCCAGCAAGATCATCGCGGAGAACATTTACGAGGGGGGCCTGAACAGTGACTATGTCCACCTCTTTGTGGCCACACTGCACTTTCCGCACGCCTCCAACGTCACCTTATATAAGGCAAGGGCAGAAATTTGAAATCCTTCCTGGACGGCACTGGGTTTGGGGTTTCTTGGTTGTGGGATGGGATCTGGGGGTTCCATGTTGAAATGAGTGAGCCCTGAAAACGGCTTCGTGGGTCGGTTCTTTGGAAGGTGTGGAAGTTACAGAGCGTTTGAGATGCTTGGAGCAAAGACACTATCACAGCTTTGCGGTGGTTTCTGAAAACTGGCCCAGTGTGATGCTCAGTTTAGTCAGTGGGGTGATAGGATTTTCGAGATGGACAGGATCAAATCCAACGTAAAACTCATCAAATCTAACTCATTTTGTAAAAGAGGAAACGTTTATAGAGAGGCCTTAAGTTCGTTCAACTGACGAGTTGCAGACAGCTTTGACAATTTATCTTGCTGACAGCCTGGCTTGGCGGCGGACACACCTGGATCTGAGTCCTAACTCCCCCTCCTTCCAGCTGTGTAGTCTTGGGAAAGTTGCCTGACGTGTCTGAGACTCAGGTTCTTCATCTGTGAAATGGTGGTTGTGAGAATTCATTGAGCTCTGTTGGTCAAGCGTGTGACATGTGACCTGCACATGAGCGTTCAAATCAATGTTAACTCTCATCTTTTTAAGTCTGTGTCACAAATCTGCAAGGTGAGCAGAATGGTCAGGTATTTGGCCCTCACCTGAGTGAATACGTTTTCCCTTCTGCTTGGGTGAGCATGAGGGTCACCAGCGGTCCAGGGGTGCCCAGGATGCGGGACTTTCGGGGCTACAGCTGGCAAACTGCCAGGCAAATAGGGAGGGCCTGGTCATCCTAGGTAGCATTCACTCTTCCCTACTTAACGGCTGTATGACTTTGGGCGAGTTACTTAATCTCTCTGTGCCTCAGTTTCCTCATCTGTAAAAGAGGGAACACAATAGTAACGACTCAGATAAGTTTGGGGAGATCACAGTAAAATGTTATGTGAACTGTGCTTAGAACAGTGCCTAACCTGTGTGAGTGCTCAGTCCGAGTCCTCTGTTATCGCCTGTAAGTCGGGCACAGGGTGGGAAAACCTTGGCTGTTGGAGCCTAACAGGTCTGAGCAAATTCTTGTTAGAACAGTGACTTGCTCTGTGGCCTCAGGCAAGTCCCTTCAGCTTCCTAAGGTTCCTTCTCTGTGAACAGGCCGGTCCATCCCCGCACAGCAGAATTACTGCTTAGGTTAGATCCATGCATGTGGACGTTGTAACCATCACCGTCATCATAGTAGCCAAGCAAAACTGCAAATCATAAGTCAAGACCTACACTGACTTCCGCAGTCTTCCTCAGAAGACAAACACCTGCCCCCCCCCCCCACCCCCTCCTCACTGTGTGTTGGAGGGCAGGTGTAGGAACACATCATATAGAACCATAGCTCAAATTTCTGATGGAAAAGAATCTTATCTCCTTACCTTCATTGCTTAGTATTATAAGTGCCTAAATATCTTCTTATGAGAATGTTTCTGTTTAGGCAGATTCATTTCAGAAACCTACAGGCAGGGGGCCAGCCTGGTGGCGCAGCACTTAAGTTCGCACGTTCCGCTTCCGCAGCCCAGGGTTTGCCAGTTCAGATCCCAGGTGCGGACCTATGCACCGCTTGTGAAGCCGTGCTGTGGCAGGCGGCCCACACATAAAGTAGAGGAAGATGGGCATGGATGTTAGCTCAGGGCCAGTCTTCCTCAGCAAAAAGAGGAGGATTGGCAGCAGATGTTAGCTCAGGGCCAGTCTTCCTCAAAAAAAAAAAAAAGAAACCTACAGGCATTGTTCCAGAAACTCAAGAGTGTTACCCTTGCCACACTCATCTCCAAACGTGTGTGCTCTCTCAAGTTGAGTTGCCTCGCTAAGTGAGCTGCACTCCTGACTGTCTCCATGTCCGGGTTAGAGCGCTTCCCCAGGCCACTCTGAGGACTGGATGAGAGCAGAGATCATTTGGTCTCTGCCTTCTCCCAAGAAGGCTGCCATAAATGAGAGATATATTAACGCCACCATCATCAGTGTGATGTCTCACAGTACAAGAATTATAATCAAAGCATGGGGCTTTGGAACCAGGCAGGGTGGGGTTCAGATCTCAGCTCTGCCACGTACTAATTTTGTAATCTTGGGCAAGTTAAGGTCCCTGTGCCTTGGTTTCCTCATCTGTAAAATGGGTATGATCATGCCCACGCCCTGGGGTTGCGCGTGCAGAGTTCTTAGCCCAGAGCCGCACACAGTGAGCGCTCTGTGAACGCAGCCTTTGTAGAGCAGCCGTTGTGTTGACGATGCTCACGCTGGTTGTGTCAGTTGCACTTGCTGAGAACTTTGTGTTGGCTTTTCCCCCGTGTAATTCAGGATCAGTTACAGTTGTGGATTCGCGGCAACGTGAGTGCCTGTGCGAGGTCCATCTTCATATTCGATGAAATGGATAAGATGCATGCGGGCCTCATCGATGCCATCAAGCCTTTCCTAGACTATTATGACCACGTGGATGGGGTCTCCTATCAGAAAGCCATCTTCATATTTCTCAGGTAAGGTCGGCGCTGGGACCTGATCCGAGAGCCATGAGCCCAAGCCTGTGGGCTTCAGGAAGAAGCCCGTCCTTATCCACTGGAATTATTTTGCAGCAATGCTGGAGCAGAAAGGATCACAGACGTGGCCTTGGATTTCTGGAGAAGTGGAAAGCAGAGGGAAGAAATCAAGCTCAAAGACATGGAGCACGCCTTGTCTGTGTCGGCCTTCAATAACAGGAACAGTAAGTGGCGCCACTAACCCCTCTTGTTTGTGATCCCGCGTCCCTGAGTTTTAAACTGGCATCGCCACCACCTGGGAACTGGATAGCAATGCAAATTCTCAGTCCCTTCCTTAGACCCGAGTCAGAATTCCGAAGACAATCTGTGCTAACAAACCTCAGGGGACTTACGCAAAGTGCTGTTTTAAAGAAAGAGGGAAATTGTGTTTTTTGTGGGTTTTTTTAAATTAAAAAAAACTTTTTTGAGGACAATAAGCCCTGAGCTAACATCTGCCGCCAATCCTCCTCTTTTTGCTGAGGAAGACTGGCCCTGAGCTCACATCCGTGCCCATCTTCCTCTACTTTATATGTGGGACGCCTCCCACAGCGTGGCATGCCAAGTGGTGCCATGTCCGCACCCGGGACCCGAACTGTTGAACCCCAGGCTGCCGAAGCAGAACGTGCGCACTTAACCGCTGCGCCACCAGGCCGGCCCCAGGGAAATTGTTGATCATGAAGATCTTGAAAGTTAGTTCTCTGTGTTTTCTTTGGCTAAATCATTGTCCTTTGTAGAAGAAAAGCAGCTGGTTGAGCAAGGCAGGCTGGTGTGCCTCTGAAGGAGGAGATGGCCCGTTGGGTCCCTTTCTCTCTGGGCACTGCCCTAGAACTCTGAGGTTCTGTGCCCGAGAATAACAGCCAGACAGTAGTTGGGCCCTGGTTCTGTACTGGGCACTCTGTGAAGCACTCTTTTATATTATATTATATTTCCTTTGATCTTCACTAAAACCTCATGGGGTAGAAACTATTATTGTCTCCATTCTGCAGATGAGGAAACTGGGCTCAGAAAGAGATAGCAGCTTGCCTAAGGCCACACAGCCTGTTACATGTCTCTGATTCCAGAGCCCGAGCTTTTAACTACCGAGCTCACTGCTTTTCTAGTGAACTCACACACGCACCTTTGACCTTGATCCCTTAGAGGTGGAAAGCCGCCAGGATGGAGGCTGACTCACTGAGTGACACCCGGGAGCCATGCAGGTTGACTGTGACCCAAGGCTTTGCTCAGGTTCATTCTTGAGATTACAAAACAAAGGGTCTCCTTTGAAACAGATCTGCCAGGAAATTCATCCCACTGCAGCTACGTGTGCACTATGGGGTATTTCAGGTCAGTTTGTGCAACTGGGGTATTACTGATGAAAGACAAAATGTTTTGTGCTGTGTTGAGTAGTTCCTGGGCCAAAATGCAGGGCCTCGTGCCGCGGGGCCTGGAGCTGAATGCTGCCGCCGAGGCTGCTTGCCTGGGACCCGCAACCCAGGGCCTTACAAGGGGCTTCCGGGGTGTTGCCTCGAAGTCAGGCAGACCTGGCTCGGCCGCCTCCTGACTGGCCGCAGGCAGATGGCTGAACTCTCCCCTCATTCTCTTAACAAACACTTAGCGAGCACCCACCAGGCGTCGGGCACTGGTCCAAGAACTGGCGACAGCAGTGAAGAGGAGCAGGAGTCCTTCCTCCTGGAGTTCACATCCTAACGATGATAAATAAGCAAGGACGGGTGTCCCGTGCTGCTGTGTATCTGTATCTGTGGAGAGAGAGAGCTCCCTCCCCAACAGGGAAAAAGTAAAGTAAGGGTTTGGGGGGTGTGAGGACAAGAGAGTCAGGGAAAGCTCACTGTGAGGGTGAGCCCTGGGCTGACCTGAGAGTGAGGGAGCAAGCCGTGTGAGCCCTGGAGGGAACAGCACGTGCAAGAGCCCTGAGGTAGCAGTGTGCCTGAGGTCACTGGGGCTGGTCTGGGATGGACAAAGAACAGGAAGTTAGTTAAGAAGCAAGATTTGGGGTGGGGCCAAGGTAAGGCCTCGGGTTTGACTCTAGGTGGAAACGGGAGCCCCTGGGGGGTCTTGAGCTGACAGTGACAGCATGGGACTTCGTGTTAACAGGACTGTGCTGGCTGCTGGGTAGAGAATAGCCTGAAGGCGGCGGGGTGGGGAGACTCAGGAGAAGTGTGACAACCCAGGGAGAGATGCCGGCGGCCTGGACGGGCGTGGGAGTGCTAGGGTGGTGTGACGTGGTCAGATCAGGATGTATTTTGAAGGTAGAAACAATAAGATTTTCTAAAAGAATATGTGTGGGAATGAGGGAGAAAGACAAGTCAAGGATCTGGCTTGAGCCACGGGAAGGGTGGCCCAGCCCTTTAGGGGACCAAGTGCAGGAGAGCAGGTTTGTGGGGAAGGGTGGGAGATAAAGACGAGTGTGTCCCGTGAGCAGTGACACGTGTTCGGTGAACGATGACACATTGGAGACGTCCTAGCAGAGATGTGGAGCAGAGGGGCCTTCAGGCTGAGGACACGAACTGGGGAGTGGTCCCTAGCTGGTTTTTAAAGCCACAGACTGTCTGAGGTCACTTGTTACACCTGAACACTCTTCCTGGGTCTTTGTGCGGTCAGGTCCTTGTCATTTAGGCTCTGCCCGGAGGTCACCTACTCAGCTGGCTCTGCCTGAGCACCCTGGCTCGTTACCTTATGTTGTCCTAGCCTCATCACTCCATCTCAGTGTTCGCAGCCCGAGCGCTCGCTGAAATTGTCTGTTCACTGGCTTGTGGGGTGGCTCCTCAGGTGTCAGCCCCATGAGGGCAGGGTCCGTGTGTGCCTGGCTCCGTGCTCTGTCCTCAGGGCCCACACAGTAGGCCTGCAGGGAAGAGCCGACCCGCTTGTTGCTGCTCAGTGGTTTGACTGTTGTTTCCCACGGCCCCAGCCTCTGCCCCATCCAGACGAGCAGACATGTACTGAGCACTAGGTGTGTGCCAACACTGTCAGGAAAGAAAAGCATAAACCCCAGTTGTGATATTGGGATTTGTAAGGAGAAATACATACTTGTTCTTCATCCCTGTTTCTGGCACAGAGCTCCTAAAACCCTTGGAATTTTCTAAGTGATAAGAGCAGTAAAGGTGTGTGGTGTTCACAACAAAGCCCTTTCCACCGCAGCTGAGTTCATGTTAATGAGGCGACTTTGGAAAGCACCTAAGGATGGGTGCTGGTTGCCAGGGGAACCCACCCTGTGATTGGAGGGTTGGAACCTTCAGTCCCACCGCCGGACCTCTGGGGAGGGGCTGGGGGCTGGAGGTTGAATCCATCGCCAGTGGCCAATGACTTGATCACCCGTGCCCGTGTGATGGATCCTCCATAAATCCCAGAGGCATGGGGTCGGAGAGCTTCCAGGTGGTGAACGTGGAGATGCGGGGAGAGTGGAGCTCGGAGCGTGGAACCTCTGCGCCCTTCCCACGGTCCTTGCCCCCACGCATCTCTTCCATCTGGCCTCCTGAGCTCTGTCCTCTATAGTAAACTGATAGTCCAGTAAGTGAAATGCTTTTCTGAGTTCTGTGAGCTGCTCTAGCAAATTAACCAAACCCAAGGAGGGGGTCGTTGGAACCCCCCAGTCAGAAGCACAGATGACAACCTGGACTTGAGATTGGTGGCCGATGTGGAGGGCAGTCCTGTGGGACTGAGCCCTCAACCTGTGGGATCTGACAATGCCTCCAGGTAGATAGTGTCAGAATTGAGTAGAATTGTAGGATGCCCAGGTAGTGTCAGAGAATTGCATGGTGGTGTGAATAAAACACACACATCGGAATCAGTGTCAGTGTCAGACCAGAATTAAGCACACGAATTATGCAGCAAAGTGCAGGAGAGCAGGTTTGCATGGAGAAATGCTGGGTGTGATCGGGCAGGTGCTGTATCCTCTTAGAGGAGGGAGCGGGTGTGATCTCTCAGGAGCTGTGAGGTCTCAGAGGAGGGAGCAGGTGTGATCCGGCAGGTGCTGTGTGGTCTGAGAGGAAGGGGCGGGAGTGATCCAGCAGGTGCTGTGTGGTCTGAGTGGAAGGGGCGGGAGTGATCCAGCAGGTGCTGTGTGGTCTGAGTGGAAGGGGCGGGAGTGATCCAGCAGGTGCTGTGTGGTCTGAGAGGAAGGGGCGGGAGTGATCCAGCAGGTGCTGTGTCCTCTTAGAGGAGGGAGCGGCTGTGATCCGGCAGGTGCTGTGTGGTCTGAGAGGAAGGGGCGGGAGTGATCTGGCAGGTGCTGTGTGGTCTCAAGGCCCGGGCATCCATGAGAGGTTGTGTCTGGGCCCGTGCAGAGCCAGCCCCCATCCCGGGGAGAAGCCATGACAGAGTTGATGCCCCGGAGCCCGGCCGCCGCAGAGCAGTGTCTGCACGGGCTCCTGCCCTCAGGGTTCTAGTTTGGTCCCTGCAGAATGCTCTGCAGGGTTGGGCCGCGCTCGCAGCGGCAGTGGGTTGCCAGCCTGTTGCTAATCCAGCTGCTGAAACTCCCATGAGTCACAAGTTTCCAAAATAAAGGTGTGTCTGTCTGGTCCTTCCCTGGGAACTTGTCTCACCTTTCGCTGTCTCTGAAACTGCCAACCTGGGGGCTGGTCCCCTTCCCACTGCCTCTCTGCCTGTTCCCGGGCCCCCCGGCACCCTGCGTGGTGGGCCTCTGTCCCACTTGAGATCTTTAAGGCACATCTTGACAGGCCTCCCCTGAGCCCACAGCATAAAGGTGTCCCTTCCCACTGTCCCGTCACTCTGCCCTTTGCTTTCATAGAAGCGTCACAGCTCGTGGTTCCTTGGTGAGCCCACTAGCGATAGCCGCCCGCCACGTGAGCTGGGGAGCTCCCTGAGGACAGGTGCGGCTCCGTCCCAGGGTGGGCGCGGTGACACCCACTTAGATAGTGTTGGGTGGGCAGATGGACAATGGATGAACATTACCTTTTTTTTTTCCCAGGTGGCTTCTGGCACAGCAGCTTAATTGACCGAAATCTCATTGATTATTTTGTCCCCTTCCTCCCCCTGGAATATAAACACCTGAAAATGTGCATCAGATCGGAAATGCAGTCCCGAGGCTATGAAGTTGATGAGGACATTGTAACCAGAGTGGCTGAGGAGATGACATTCTTCCCCAAAGAGGAGAGAATTTTCTCTGACAAAGGCTGCAAAACTGTGTTCACCAAGTTGGATTATTATTACGATGACTGAAGCCGGAGGCCTTGCTTCGAGCTGGAGAAGGAGGAACGCCACCCGACACCCTGCATCGTTCCCGCACCTCCCCTCCCTTCCCAATCGGTCTGTCCCGGCAGGAGTGAGATGGAGTCTTCCTGTTCGACGGAGGGACTTCCCTGGGCCTTGTCTTCATCCAGGAGCCTGCAGGCCACACGGCTTGCAGACGGCGGGCGCGGGACAGCCCCAGGCCTTCGGAGGATGCAGCCAGCTTCCGGCCTGCCACCAGGCCTCATGATTTTTTAAAAATCATGTTTTAATTTGAAGTGTTTCTGTTTCAAGGAAGGACGAATAATTTTACTGAAAATGTGATGACTTTATTTAAAATGATTTTTAACATTATGAGAAACTTTTCAGACTCTTAAGTTGTTGGTTTTGTGTGTTTTCTTAAGTTCCCGTGATAACATATACCATGATGTCTTCAGTGCAAGACAGCCCAAGCCTGAGGCCTTGGCATGTGTTCTGTAGGACGGCCTCGCTGGGCCCGAGGCTGGAGCAGTGACCAGAACTGTCAGAGGATGACCATCGCGAGGGGCAGTGAAGGGGTAGACAAAAGGACAGGTACGTAAGAGGACACGCTGAGACACCCGGCAGATAACCCTAAATGGGCTCCATCTCAGTAACACTGAACTGTGGGAGCGATCTTAGTAACATTGTAAACGTTTGTTAGAAACAGTTTCTTTCAAGAGAAGTATTTCCAGCTTGTCACTTGCCAGTCATTCAGCTTGCCATATTTTTTAAACACCTTGCTCATTTATCATTAATTTTTGTTAGGTTTAACCAGAACTCCCAAAACCTAGGAAAGCTTAGCTGCCCTCAAGGATGCTGAGAACACTCGTTTGACTTAAAAATGCAAATAGCTACCGTTTTACAATACAATTGTGTGTGATTTGTGAATACATTTTTAAAGGAGAAAAAACCGCTCCGCTGTGGGCCTCGTGCCAGCTCAGAGGTGAGGCCGAGCAGGTGCAGCCCAGGGTGGAAGGAAGTGCAGTCTAATGCAGGGACCCTGCGGATCCCAGGCTGGCCCTGGCTCCTCGCTCAGCCGCACGGGGTGTCGCACTCTGAGTTCCTGCCAGCCAGCCGTGGAGTCTAGAGACATGATCCCAGCTGAGCTGCCAGGCCGGCGCAGGGAGCGCTGTAGGGGACTAAACATACCTGGTTCACGCAACACCTGCCAAAAGGCGGGGCTCCTGGGGGGTGAGGCCTAAACAGCACTGCAGGGACAGTTTGCAGCAGGCACAGAAGATGGGGTGGCAGCTTGGCAGCTGGGCTGACGCAGGACCCCTCTGCCTCACGGCTTCCCAGCCTGGAGAGGGGCTCTTCAAGGCTGCCTCTGAGTGTTGGGATGTTCTTGATGTTTAGCCGAAGCTGGCCCATTGTCACGTCCCCAGGAGTCACAGATTAGGGCTAATCATTTGAAGATGGCATCCCCAGCACCTGGGAGTCCCTAATTAGGGGACAGAGGGGTCCCCTGATTAACGTGGCAAGTTCAGCCTTTTTCGATGAGGCAGTATGGGGTGGAGTAGGAACTGCCTTAGGCTGGGACCAGACCAACAGTCAGTCTCCTGGGACCTGAGCACCCCCAAGTAGGAAATGAGGGGAGCCGGTGGGATGGCAGTGGAGAGGGTGTGAACTTCTAGAAAGTCAGCTGGCTCATCCTCAGTCCTGGGAAGAGGGTTGGTGTTAAAATTCTCTGGCAGAGGAGAGAGGCCAGGCTACGTGTGACTCAGCTGAGATCTGGTTAACATAGCTAGCACCTCATTATTGACTAGTTCCGGGCGGGAAGACCTGGCAGTTGGATTCCCTGGTCTGAGCTTGGCCTTGCTCAGGTTCAGAGTATCAGCAACGAGTCCTCTCCCAGGGCCTCATTTCCTTCCTACCTCAATTTGAGGGGAATGTATTTGTTACAAGTCCAGTTCTTTTTTTTTTTCTTTTTCTCCCAAAGCCCCCTGGTACATAGTTGTGTATTTTTAGTTGTGGGTCCTTCTAGTTGTGGCATGTGGGACGCCACCTCAGCATGGCTTGATGAGCGGTGCAATGTCTGCGCCCAGGATTCGAACCAGCAAAACCCTGGGCCCCAGAAGCAGAGTGCACGAACTTAACCACTTGGCCACGGGCCGGCCCCTGAAGTCCAGTGCTTTCTGATGACATTTTCATCCACGAAAATATGGAGTATAACCCATCATCTAATCCAGTTTAACTTCATATCTGTTAGGGATTACTTTCAAGATAAATATTGATTCTGTAGCATGTGAAGACTGCCACTCAGCGTGACCAGGGTATGGTGAGCCTAGTGACAACCGAGTTGTTGAAGAGCCTTTATTCCAAGCTCACACTTCTCAGTTACCAAATAAACCAGAAAAAAAATTTGCACGTGACATCTCACACGATAAAATTTAGGCTTTATTATTTTATATTCAGTAGGTCCACATAAGCTTTCGTCTACATCTTCCATGGGGTGGGGGAGGCTGGGCCGTGGTCAACCGTGGCCATTTCAAGTTTCAAATTAGTACCGAGGTCCAAAGGTAGCCAACACGTTGAGTTTATTGCATCGTAAACAGAATCCTGTCTCCTGATCAGCCACCCAAAACGTTATAAAAGAAATATAACTTAGCTCCAACTTGAGGATATGTACTAAAAATCTGAAGCCTCACTGTGGCATTTTTAAAAGACTAAGTGTGCTCCTCTTATAAGGCACTCCCACATCGTAAAAACATTTACCACATCTCATACAGTCATGCCTCACTTAATGACGGGGACGTGTTCTGAGCAATTTCGTCGTTGTGCAAACATCGTAGGGTAACTTACATAAACCTAGATGGTATAGCCTACTACATACCTAGGCTGTATGGTACGAATCTTAGGGGACCACCATCACATATGCGGTCAGCCATCGACGGTGATGTCATTCAGCGGTGCACAACCGTACAAAAAGGCTGCCCATCGTTCTCATTACACGTCTGCAGTCTGCACTGCGACTACGGGATAGACACAGAACCATTCACCCTGGCTGGAATCTAAGTCTGATTTCCCAATGACCAGGGGAGACCAGGCTGGCACTGCCATGTAGGGTGTCATTATCAGATGACATCCAGGACCAGCCACAACTTCAGACTGACCTCGCTGGATGTACAGTTGTGACCATATCTTACCACGCATTTAACTATAAAAATTCAGACCATTTGTTTTAAGAATACCTGATAAAGGAATAGGAATTATTCCATTCTGTGTCCCTCTCATATTTTAAAATAAACAACAGCCTGTATTTTCTATTCTTTAAGATTCAGAAGTAAAAACATTATAAAAAATACACATATCCTTGAAAGCACCAGCATTTCTAGCGTGCCACACTTCCACCTCCTTGGCAATGCAGAACTGCAAGCTGACCCCTCAGCGTGGGCAGCGTCGCCCGCGGAGAATGGCCACGTGCCGTGGATTTCACACGGTCTCGGGAGTAAAGTGGGAGGCGGGCTCGCCTACAAACTGTAGCAGACAAACATTTCACCATGGGCACCAAGGACTCAAACGCAAAGCCAACGGTCCCATTCTGACTCCACTCTAGTGATGTTGCGGGTGGGGGCAATCTAGTGGTGACGGAAGTTCAGGAGCAGAAGTGGATCAAGGAAGGCTGGATCGACACCAAGCGAGAGACGGGCGAAGGAGTTCCACGACCAGGGCTGTCATCAGCGGCCAGAGAGACGGACAGACAGACAGCTGCTGTGTGCGCTGGTCTCCTGCGAGGCCTCGGATGAGCTCCCCGCCCACGCAGACAGCTGACGGGTCAGAGCGCTCGCTGTGCAGGCCCACGTCCCCACTGGACGCTGCGCCTGACGGTACCGATTTTAACTGAAAATACTTCAACTCAGGGAACGCTGTGTAAAGAAAGAGAGCAGATGACTGCTTCCAGCAGGTGAAAACCTGATGCCCCACAGACCAGCAGGGCCCTCGGACTCCTGCGATTATAACCGCAGCTCCTGAGGGTGCCCAGGGGTCAGAAACAGTCCCAGGCTCACCGCACGGCGGTGTCCAAGGCCATTCCCTCGAGGTCAGTAAGCGTGGGGGGGGATGTTCGACGTTCATCTTCAACCACAGTTAACAGGTGGATTGCTGTCACCTTGCAAAATGACAAGTACACTCGATAAATTAGCCTCTCTCCAAAAATCAACTCTTAGAAACTTCTAGATCCCAAAAGTCCACAGGTGCAAATGTGCAAACCCCGAAGGGGGCGTCAAAGTGCTTCCGAAAGGCGAGGCCACTAGCCTGCTGAGCTTGCAGCGGTCTCCTACCCTGCACCGTTAGGAGCTTCATGAAAATCCAGCCGTGACTGCACTGTCTTGCAGCCCTTGTCTGAGTAGATTTTCTCGTCTTTGGGGAAAAACGTCATTTCCTCTGCCACCATGGTGACAATGTCTTCATCGATGGCAGAACCGCGGGCCCTCAGCTCTGCCCTCACGCACATCTTCACGTGTCTGTACTCCAGGGGCAGGAAGGGGATAAAGTAATCGATGAGGTTTCTGTCGATCAGGCTGCTGTGCCACAGGCCACCTGCGAAACAAGACACAGCAGGGTTTCCTGCCCGTCAATGTCACTGCTCCCACAGGGCCCGTTTTGATCCCGACCCACAGTACATTCTTTCTGTCTTTACCCCACGAGATTCTTTGGTCCAGTGTGCCACAAGCTGAATGTAAGCATTGGCTGGCCAGCCCTGCCAACTAACTGGCTTCTAGGATGGAATGCCCTAGAAAAAGTCCCTACTTCAGCAAAGCCACGGAGGCAAGCGGGTTCTGTGGCTTGGTGAAAGGCTTCAAGAAAGGAGACTCTGCTGGCAGGGTTAAGGGGCTCCTCAGCCTGGGAGACTCACTGTGCTTATTATTGAAGACTCCCACGGACAGCACGTGCTCCAGGTCCTTCAGCTCAATGTCCTCCCTCTTTCTTCCCGCTCGCCAAAAGTCAAGGGCTGTCTTCGTGATGAGGTCCCCACCTGCGTTGCTGAGTTGGCCAAAGAAACAAAGATTAAAATCACACCTGAAGACTTCTGTGTCTAATCAGGCAACATTCCTGCTCTCAGGTTTATTCTTACTCAAGGAATATTTACGAAGTGCTACTAGACAGAGAAAAAGCAGTGTCCGCCCTCAAGAAGCTTAAAATCGGCTTTTTCAGAACTTGCTGCCTAACGCTGTGACTTTTTATAACCTTTAGAGACAACAAGTGCAGGTAACGAGATTGCCTGTTATCAGCAATTATTTCTCTGATTTGTTTTCTCCTGCCCACACTCTGTGCCATGCCGATCTGGCAACGCAAAAGGAAAAGTCAGCAAGTCCCTTTGCCAGGCTGGCACTTTGTCCCCAGGAAACCGAACGCTGGTGGTCACCAGGCCCTCACTCTAGCACTGGGAGAAGGAAGGGCTTGTGTCTCCCCGAGAAACCGCCTCCCGCTGACCTGAGAAAGATGAAGATGGCCTTCCGGTAAGACACGCCATCCACCTGCTCGTAGTAGTCCAGGAATGGCTTGATGGCGTCGATGACCCCGGGGTGCAATTTATCCATCTCGTCAAATATGAACAGGGAGCTCGCACACGCACTCACGTTACCCCGAATCCACTTCTGTAACTGGTCCTAGACCAAGCAGAAAAGGAGACATAGGATGCAGAGGCCCACAGGACGTGCCAAGGGAGCAGCAGCTACACCGTGGCTGGCACTCTGAGAGACGAAACGTCAGAGCACTCCGGGGTTTAACGAGAACTCGCGGAAACCGCGTCCTAACCTCCGCTTGCCGGCTAGCAGCTTTTCCAGCACTTTACAAAACAGGACACAGGCAGAGACAGGCGCTGAAATGCCAAGAAGCTTTCTCCTAACTCAAGGGACGTGCTAAATGTGACTTTTTAAAGGTGTAAGAGGTAAAAGATACGTGAATATTTATCATTTCATTGTTAACCAACCCATAATTTTCGTGTCACTGTGGGTGGAAATCTCAAGTTAATTTAACCAGACATGAAGAATGAGAAACTAGAGTATGACTGGCACGGTGCCCGACACCAGTGCCTTTTACTGGTGCCATGAGCAAAGGGGCTGACCTCGGTGACATTTTATGAAAAGCGCTGTTTCTATGCTTTCTTGAAACAAATAAACAGAGACCCAGGCAACAAGCCCTAAACCCCCAAATGTGAAAGGCTCCGGCAGCTCCATGACCTGCTCCAGAGGCACCCCCCCCCCCCACCTATCTGACTATATTTCTAGAGATTTATGAAACAATTTGGAAAACAAGGAAATCCTTCTTTCTTTTGGCCATCTTCCCCGTCTTACAGTTTGTGCGGCAAAGACCCACTTTCACTTCCTTGTTCAGTTAAGTTTCTATTTCTTATTTCAGTCCCCACCTAACAGTAAGAATATTATCCTTACAAGGACAACCATCATTTAAATAAGACCCTACTAGACAACTGGATATAAATTAAACGTGAGAAGAATATCTCAAAAGGAGAAACGGTCTTAAGACTCAGTTCTCTGAGGCTTTCATTTGAAGAAAGCGAGCCATGCCCAGGATTTGAAGGATGGGAGGAAAAAACCCCACTAGTCCATGTTGCTAAATGCAGAGGCAAAGCCGAAGCACAGGTGGGAGCTTTAATGAAGGCATGTCGGAGCAAATCATTTATGACGCTCCACTCAGCCAAGGGCTGTGATGGGGATGCTGAACACGCTTACTCACTGCAGAACGCCGCTACCCTGCCAACTGGGAGTTAGGAGATTTGGGTTCAAGTTTCTGATTTGCCACAAGGTCACAGACTGTCAGGGGCAAGTCACCTCGCCGCTCTTGGCTCCATCTTTTAATGGAAATAACATCACCTAGCCCTCTGTATTATGTTGGAATCAAGGGAGAAAAAAGTTGTAGGTGAGCTGTGTAAATAGCAAAGGGTTGGGGGGGATGGGGGAGGGGTGGTTAGTGCCTTAACCCAGCAGGGCCTGAGGCTAGTGCAGTGCAAGGAAAAGCAGCAGAAGCCAGAATTAGGGAGCAGGTTGCCCAGACCAGTAGACCAGTCGGAGTGGCCCGTGGATGGGATAACGGGATTCCCTTGCCTGGTACAATTTTATCTGCTGCTCGTGAGGGAAGTGCAGAGTCGACACAAACAGGTGGACAAATTTACTCTTCAGGCCTTTCGAGTGAAGATTTTCAGCCACAATCTGGCTGACAAAATTCTTTCCCGTGCCAGCCCAGCCGTGTAAGGAAAGAGTCAGCGGTTTCTTGGGATTTTTGTTGTTCTTGAAGCCAGTCAGAGCCTTGAGAATCACCTCTGTGGCCAGATGTTGCCCAAACAGCTTCTCCTCCAAATCTAGCTTGAGGGCTGCAGGAGCCAGCCCGAGAACAGAGAGAAAAATACACATTAAACACGCACCAGAAAAGCAGCACCTTCCCCAGCTGGCCAAAGGGAGAGGCACAGATTAGCAAGTGGTCCCGCGGGGTCTCGGCCAAACCCCGGGTTGCAGAGGCACAGGATGCCAATTCCAAGGAGACGCACTAGGTGGATGTGCTCCTTAACACTCGTGTCTGACAAGGAAGCTAAACGTGTTCGTTCATCCAAGCATCAGCCCCCTCTGGGATGGGGAGAGGGAGCTGCATGCTACGTGCCCAGCCACCCCTGCTGGCTCGTAAGACAACCAAAAGCCAAATGTGGGCTTTGTGGGCAGACGCTGCACATCTGAACACTACTTAATAGGGGTGGCGGGGTGCGGAAGGGCCGGCCACGCTGCTTTCAGTTTCTTCTTAACTGTAATCCCAAGGAATCCGAACGTTTAGGAAGGAAGCGGGGCAGAACCCCACGATCTGGAGAGTCTGTCTCAGAAGGCACGGGTTCCAGGGCTGGAGTCCGGACCGAGGCCCCACCCGTCCTCCCTCCCGCCCGACCCGCGTACCCGACGCGTTGAGCGGCTGCTCCTCGCGGCAGCACTCGGCGAAGCGGCAGTACAGGTCCGTGTAGGACAGGTAGCCGGTGAGCGCCGACGCCGCCCCGATGACGAGGCCCACGCTGACGGGATCGAACGCCGCCGCCACGTGGGCCACCAGCAGCAGCCGCAACACGGCCGCAGCCCCCAGCCGCCGCGCCCGCCGCATCCCCCTCTCCCACCCCGCCACCGCGGCTACGCTGGGCGCCGGCATCAGACGGACTTCCGGTTCGTGCGTCACTTCCGCCCCGCAGGCCCGCCGACTGCTTGGGGCGGCCATGTTGGTGAGGGGCGTGCCTCTGTGCCGCCATCTTTGTGAGTGGCACGAAAGGCCTTCCAGGGACCGTTAGCTTCGGTTGAACGCCACGTCTAGCTTTTACGGTTTTGCTTTCTTAAGAGCCTCTCAGAGGCCCTGCGCCTTGCTTTGTGGTCGTTCCTCTCACTTCCCCCGGGGCTATAATGAGCGTTTCTCATGTCTACCCACCTGCCTGCCTTCCTGAAACTTGCTGAGCCCTCTGCGCGCCCAGCCCAGGCTGAGCCCTGGGGATACACCTAGGCAGACGTGTCCTGGAGTGCAAAGTAGAGCCCAGGACTCCTTTCTTTCACGCAGCGCGCTCCAAGGCAGAGCCCTTACTGGGGGCTGGGAGGACAGCAGTGAAGGAGAGGAGGCGGCCCCTGCCCTCACCAGCTCCCAGGCCATGGGGAGGGCAGACAGTGGCAAAGGCCGCTAGTGAGCGGTCGGAGGAGTGCAGGGGCCGTGGAGCAGGGAAGGCTTTTGTCTACACTGAAGATTAAAGGAGTTAGCCAAGCAAAAAGTGACGAGTAGAGTGTTCTATGCAGAGAACGGAATATGCAGAAGGTACAGTTTAGGGAACTGAAAGTGATGCGGGCTCGGTGAGCCGAGGAGTCGAAAAAAAGATTTCTTGGACTCTCAAGGTCAGGTAGTAGTGCCCCTTTATTCAGAGAATAGCATGGGCATAGAACCCATGGGCAGTGAAGAGCAGGACCCACGGGCAGTGAAGGGCTGTAATGAGTCGAGGGGAGGGCTAAATTTACAAGGCATGGGTTTGTGAGTTATTTCTTTACAAGACAAAAGAAAGATCATGAAAAAAATCGTTAAACTGGGGTCAGTGCAGGTGGGGTCTGGTTATTGGGTGGTCCTATAACTGGAAAGGAATCAAGTTGAATCAGGTCAGGACATCCTGTGCTTCCCGGAGGATGATACAGATCAGTGTGTAGGGCAGGACGCCTTAGGCTTCTCTCCCTGGGGCAGCCTTGATCCTCATGAAAAGTATTTCACATACTAGGTGCAGGCTGGTGAGAATGAGATTGCAGAGCTAGGCCGAGACTGCAAGGGGAAGGCTTGCAAGCTCTGTAAGGAGTTTAGCCTCTGTTCTGGTGGGTAACAGGGAGCCACAGAAGGTTTTACACGAGGTGCGACATGGTCAGATCAGAGATCACGCTGGCTGCTAGGTTCAGTGAGGAGGCAGTTACAGTGGTTCAGGTAACCTTGGCTCAGGCTTTGCAGAAACTGACTTCATCCATCAGCCAATCTATCAACAAATATTTAATGAACACTAGCTGTGGTGGATCCAGTGTTATATGTTGGGGCTACAGCAGGAAAAAGGACAGACAGAGCCCATGCCTTCACCGAGCTCTGGGAGGCAGATGGGCAAGCAGACAGGTTAAGTCCAGCGTGGTCAGTGCTGTGATGTGGGACGCACAGAGGAGGCACCTCACCCAACCTACAGGACGGGAGGCTCTCCTCCTCCATATGTCAGTTTTGACCTGAAGAAGGAGTAAATATGACCCAAGAGGACTGGGGCAAGCAAAGAGAGGAACGGCGAAGGTGGTCAGGCCGAACACTCCAGGCGGGGTGAGTTTGTTCAATGGACTGGGGGTGAGCCGGGCACACCGGGAGCCCCGTGTGGCTCGGTGGCTGGAGTGTGACGACAGGGGAGACTGAGTGGCAGATGGGGCCAAACCATCAGGGCCTTTGGAGCCATGCTAGAGAGAGGGCTATCCTGGGGCCAGAAGGGAGCCCTAGGATGGCTCGGCAGGGGTTGTTCAGACCACTCTGGCCCTGTCCTGAGATTGGAGGGGCCAAGACTGTGGTAGGGAGACTGGGTCCAAGGCTGGAGCAGTGTTCGAGGAGAGAGAAGGCAGTGGCCTGAACTGGAATAGAGGCGGTGGGAGGGAGGGAAAGGAATCTGAGAGTTATTCTGGAATGAAAATGAGAGAAGGGGTGGACTGGGGTTGGGGAGGCGGGAGTACTATGGAGAAGGAGCAGGCAGAGGGCAGGGGATGGTGGAGACTCCTGTGCACTTCCACTGCTCAGATCCCAATCCCCTTGTTCCTTGCAAAATATACCGTGTGTATGCAGTGTTATCATCAGAGTCAGAAATGCCGGTTACTGAGCCTTGTGAGTCCAGATCGAAACACCACTGAGTCCTTCCAGCACCGCACACAGTCCTTCAAGATCACGAACATTTCCTTGCAAACACCAGTGGCCTAAACAGCCTCTCCTGACTTGTGAGCTCCACAGGGTTGTGGAGAGGGTCAAAAGAGGTGACAGTCCCAGGAAATGGTCTTCCTGTCCTTCCCACTGTCTGCAGTGCTGGGGGCTCTGCATGTGTCAGCTCACTGGTGCCCCAATAACTTCAAAAAGAAGGGACTGTCGGGGCCGGCCCAGTGGCGTAGTGGTTCACTTCGCACGCTCCGCTTCAGCAGCCCGGGGGTCGCCAGTTCAGATCCCTGGCATGGACCTATGCACCACTCATCGAGTCATGCTGTGTTGGCGTCCCACATACAAAGTAGGGGAAGGTGGGCACAGATGTTAGCTCAGCAACAATCTTCCTCAAGCAAAAAGAGGAAGATTGGCAACAGACGTTAGCTCAGGGCCAATCTTCCTTGCTGAAAAAAAAAAGAGAGAGAGAGAAGGGACTGTTGTGATCTTCATTTTACAGATGGGGAAACAGTTCCAGAGAGGTAATGTCACATTGTCCAGAGCCACTTAGCAGAAAGAAAGAGAATGAACCAGGTTCTGTGACTTTTATGATCCCAACCTCCTGTTCTCTGTTCCCGTCCCCTCATGCTGCAGAGGCCCTGGGGGCTGCAGAGCCGCTCTCTTGCTTCTTATGACTGCCCCCCAAGGAACGTCCTGGACTTGGCCAGCTGCATGCCAAGCAGCCTCTGTCCTCAGAGCCAGCAGGAGAACTGGTTAGATTAGATAACGCCGGCTGGCAGCCTGCCCACAGGGACCTTCAGGGGGACAGTTTGTCAGATGGCCCTGGGACAGGTGCTGAGTCCCAACTTTTTTGTGTGTTGGGGTCACAGCCCTTGTTGTGGGCCTTTCCCTGTCCTAGGTCAGCCGTCTTCAGCCTGGGTGTGTGACCCCCGGAGACAGGTGCAGACTCTCCAAGGTCGTGTGAGTGTTGGTCACTCTGAGGTCACTCCGAGGCTCCCAGTGCCAGCATCTCAGCGTCTTCTCTCTTTCCCCCCAAGCAAGGCCTCAGCGGCCCCAGCCTCCTCCGGAGCTCCTGTCTTCCCTCCCCGTCCTCGCCTCTGGCCCCCTGGGAAGAAGAAAAGCCACTCAGCAATTTCCCCCTGTGGGTACATGCAGCAAACGGAAAAGAAAAAGAGAACCCCTCCGTCTCATTAAGAGATACATTTGCCATAAAATTTTAATTCTTTGCTTGATAATTATTTATAAAAAATGTGTAACACATTTCTATTGTTTTGACCAGTTGTGTACTAACAATGATCCGAAAGAGATGTTTTGACACTTAGAGCTTTGTGGTCACCGGAAAAATTTTTATATTAAATTTTAATTTGTAGTATATACGTATCTTTGTTGCAGAGAAATAAGATGGAATGATCAATAAAAGACTGCTAGGCAAAAAATATGTTTCATTAAGATGATATCTGATAGGGGAGCAGAATGGAAATATGGGTTCAAGTACAAGAAATGATCGTAAATACCCCACTTGTTCATGCATCTTATAAATGGCTGATGGCGGGTAAAATTGCGGTAACATTCAGATTCCATTGAGCATGACTAGAAGAGCAATGTGGCAATGTTATAATATTGATACTTACAATAGACGGAAATTGCGTCTTTTGCAACCATTTACACTTATGAAAAGTTTCAGTGTCAATCTAAAAATGCACAAAAGGGATGTGTGAGCAAAAAACAGTCCCCTGGCTAGATGGCTCCTTCCAGAGGGTGGCTCCATCCTCTCCAGACTTCCTCCCCTCTTGGTCGCCACATCTTCTCTGTCTCCCCACTCCACAGTCCCGAATGGCTCCGAGGCTCAGTTCTAGACCCTTTCTCTCTTTATTCCCTCTCCCTGGGTAAGAGGAACCCCAACTTTCTCCCTCCAGACGCTGCCTCTGGCTGCACACCGGACATCTCCACTTGGCTCTTCACCAGACATCTCAGCATCCACTTGGTCAAAATGGAAGTCTCGATTGTTTTCTCCAATATGTCCCACCTGCCGTGGTCCCTCCCTCAGGAAGTGGAGCCATGTTCCACCAGTTGCTTAGTCCCAAACCTAGAGGTTGTCCTGGATTCTTTTCCCCAGCCTCCACTTCTAATCCATCAACAGGTTGCTGGCCCCATACATTTTCATATCCAAAAACTCTTCAGCAGTCGTCTCCATCTCCTTGGCCTCCCCCACAATCCAAGCACCAACACGGATGACCACAGTAGCCCCCTATGGGGTCCCCTGCACCCACCCTTGTCATCTCTGATCCATTTTCCCCCTGACAGAGACAGGTGGTCTTTTCACAACAAACCAGATCATGTCACTCCTGCTTTGAATCTGTCAGTGGCTTCCAAAAGCCCTTAGGAAAAAAATCCACCCTCTTGACGCTGACCTCAAAGTCGCATGCGATGTGCCCTGCCTTCCTCTCAGACCTTTTCCCATCCCACATCCTCCCTCATTCTCAGCCCCACAGCTCCCTTCTCTCTCCTGCCTTGCACATCTCATTCTCCTGGCTGGACTCTTGCTTCGGAGTCTCACCTGGCTAAGAGCTTTCAGCCCCAAGCCCACCTGCCCTATCTAATGTAACCCCGCTCCCACCTGCAGTCACCTACTCTCCTGTCGCCCTGTTTGTGTCCTCATCTATCGACCGTCTCTCCCGCTGGCCTGAGAGCACCAGGAGGACAGGGGCCTTGTCGATTGTACTCCCTATCTCTAATTCATGGAGCTGTGCCAGGTGCACAGTAGGCGCTTAATAAATATGTGGTTACCATTCAAAGATAGAACACTCTGCGAGAGGGTGGGCTCTGAT